CCCCCCTGGCCACGCCCCACGTCCGCGACTTGCCCCCCTCCCCGCATGCAAGCGCGCAAAGCTCGCAGCTAGCGGTCCCGCGGTTGCGTGATGCCCTGCTGCAGTTTGAGCGGTGCCGCAACAATTGTGGCTCAGACTTGAATCACAATGAAGCTCGTCGAGGGCAATCAGCTCCACGCAGCCTTCTCGCCTTGCTCCGCCCCTGCACCAAATCATACAAGAAACGCAGAGGCGTCTTTCAGCCTTCCATTCATCTTGACCTTGAATTGCCAAACGACTGCCGACCGTTGTGCAAAGTTTGGGGCGCCCTCTTGGGCGCGCACTGTGACTGATCATACTGATCACACTTGTATCAGTCGCCACTCTCTTTTGGGCTACTGCGGGAGCTATAGCTGCGCGGGACGTTATCGGCTACCTCGTTCTCATTCACGATTGGTTTCGACCTCCGGCGTCCGGGTGCTCGTTGGGCAGAGGATGGCTGCTCTGATGCCGCTGAGGCAAAGTGAGGCTCTGCTGAACTCTGTGACTCACCTCACCTCTCGTGGCTAGCACCCACAACAAAAAGCTCCAGGTTGCTGAGTTCGGCTTCACACTGCGACGGGATCGCAAGCTAGTGCGGTGCCTGAGTGCTGTACTAAAGCTGTAGGCCCGGCTTATACGGACTCTGTGGCCAGTTCGTCAGTCAAAGCCGGGCAGCTTGGCCAAGAATCAATTGTGTCCATCCGAATCGCTATACCTGCCGTTACAACTTCAGCCAAACGTTGACGCCTTACGACAGAATGCTCGAAATGTGGCAGTCAGAATGGCAAGGCTTAGCTGTGAGTAGTGCGATCCTTACATCAGCGATCAAAAGATGACAATTCTGCCACATTCTGATTCACCATTTGCCGTGGTGATACTGGGGCCGGTTTTGCGATCATGAATCGAGCGGCGGGAATCTTTGGATGGAACGCGAACGTCATACACATCAGCGAGCACATACCGCCCTCTCCCGTGCCTGGCCTCGCGCCGTCGTCAAGCTTCGTGAGGAGAGCCTTTCTGTGGGCGATGTGTCAGAAGCTCCAGGAAGATCGTCTCCTGCCGAGATCGGGGCAGCTTGATCGAGTGCAAAAGCGAGCTTGTAAAGAGGCTCTGGACGAGTGGGCTCGATTAGGGGTACAGTCATAATACCCCTGAATCTATCAACCACTTCCGGACTCCCTTACCGCGTTTACCTCGCCTACACAGTATATACCTGCATAGCTCCGGCCGATACCGCGCTTCTTCCCCGCCGCTCCCGCGTTCGAAACGCGATGGCTATGAGACTTCTACAACGCTTACAACTTGCGTAGCCACTCACGACAATACTGAACGGTGTCGAGCTTCATGACACGCTGAAAACGGCAAATGTCGCGAAATGAAGAGGACGCCGCGATGACGACGGACCGGCCTTCTGCTCCGTTCTGTTCCGTCGAGGCGGCCCGAGTGGCGGCTCGGTGCGCGATCCCCTTCCTTGCCTCGCGTATAGAGCGCCATCAGCCAGCCAAATGCGCGCCATCAGCCAAGAACATTTCACTCATCAGAGTGTGACTGATGTGTATAGGGATCTGGAAATGGGCCTGCGATTGACGAGTTGCAGACCCAAAAACAGCAGCAGAGCAGTACGGACAAGTCACACCTTATCCCTTGAATCACCGTCGCGTGAGTGCGGCATGCACTTCGCTCGCGGACTACTTTGGATTTGCCGCAAGGGACGACGAAGGAATCTCTATCTTCAGCCTCAATGTACGTTGCGCTTTGCAGCCTTGCGTTTTGGACGCCAAACTCTGCGAGCATCAGGGGTAGAAGCAAGCTCGAGGCCATCAGGCAGCAATGAGCAGCAAGAGGACGTGAGCCAAGCAGCCGAGCCGCTGCGCTCGCTGCTACTCAATGGCTGCTGCATGCTCGACGCGTCCTTTACCGCAGTCGTGGTTCTGATTCCGTGTGCGGCGGCGTTGTTTCTGGCCACACAGCATTCACACAGCATTTCACGACTCACGACTCTAACTGGTGATGGAGGGCATCTGATCTGTGCTGCCGAGGCTCACGGGTCGCCAACCACAAATCACAAACTGCGGATGCACTTCTAGGCTCACCCTCACTTGTGAGTCAGAATCGTGAATCACAATAATATAATTCGATTAGTCGTAGGCCATGCAGCCGTGAGTCTCTGGATTATTGATTGAGTCGTCTTGCGGCTGCGCCTGGGCCGAATTATTTGACTCGCTTGTATCATTGCGGAGAGCTGACGAACAGCAGCAAACGGCAGCAGCACAGCAGCTCGAAGAGTCGTGAACTGAGCGGCTCTTGCGGAATGACGCAAAGAACCGGCAAGAAGTCCCACGCAGTTTGCAGTATCTCGTCGAGGGCCGTGCCCGCCTTCAACAACTCGCCGCTCTATACTGTGGCACTCTATTCTGACTTGACCTCTGGCGAAGTGCGCGTACCGGATCATTTCAGCCTGATTCAACGAACCGCTCGCTTCTCTTCAGCTCGCCACCACAAAGCAGGTCGCCACTCCCACCTCTTCATCCTCGCCCGCCACACCCTTGCCAGGTATCACAGTCAGTACCGGTATACGACTTACGCCTTTTGCGAGCAAGTCGGTGCGACGCAGACCCCTCCCAAGCATCTTTCCCAAACGTTGTTCCACGGCTTCGACCCTTGCACTCGACTCGTAGACCTTCTACAAAGGGGCGGCGTCGTGACACAACACTGTGGCATTTTGCAACATCAAAGTCACTCTGCTTCACAGCTACATATACGCATCATCCACAGCAAACACACTCTTTCTCAGTTTTCTCAGCTTGCTCCAATCGCAGAATTTACTCAACACTCTCTGCACGCTGGCACTGCCGTCAGGTGCATCTGCACTACTCGACAGTCGTCTGCTCGTCTGATCCGCCAAGGCCTCAACGTCGTTTGCCGGGTGTCGTCCATCCTGATTTCCCGCCCTTCCTCCTCATCCACCTCGATCAAAGCCAAGATGCAATCTGAGCTGGGCTCGCCGCGTCTAGGTTCATGTGGAGAGCCGCTGATGTCCGGCCGGGTGGATTCTACTCGCCGTATCACAAGAAAGCGACCACCTTCCATGCTTTCCTTTGTTCCCGATCCAGCTTCTTTTCTGGCGCCCACCATTCCCAGTACCAACATCATCGTCGCTTCGCCCAAAGACTACGGTCGTGAAGTCCAAGCGCAACCTCAACCACCGACCAACAAATGGTTGCAGAGCGGTGCGAATCTGTCTCTCGACGACTTGTCCCCGTCTTTCCTTGACGATTTCAACGCACCTCCGCGAGGATCCACCA